ATAATAAAAATATTTAATAAATATACAACAGACGCACGTTAAAAAACCCAATGGAAACCCAAACTACAACGGGCCTTGATGGATGGATTGACAAAATTAGGGTAGTCTCCTTTGTGTTTGTTGGAGATAAGTATTCAATTCCAACAGAAAGCCCACTAGGCCCAAATAAATTCGGGCCAAGCTCGGTTAAGTAGTCTTATTTGGAATAGAATATGATAATGCCATAGGAGGAAAGTAGTAAGGTTTCCTAATCTTTGTAGGATTAGGAGACCAAAACATATATAAATATCAACCATAAAGAAATTGTGAAGGATTGCTTCCGTTGTATTTAGTGAGTGACATTTGTTTTCTCCATCCGTGATTTTTGAAAATGATATACATAGTGTGCAAGGTGATAATATAAGTTTACAATAATGACTATTATTTTTTACGTATTGTTATTTTTTATATATTCACTAATTTAATAACACACACTAAGATTGTAAGCATACCATCTTACCATCATATACGGTAATATAACTGTATCACTATTGCTTAATTTTTCATGTAAATCTCATGTTTTTCTTTTTATTATTATTCTTTTAATCTTATCTATGCCACTAATGATGAAGTAGTTTTTTTGATAAGTTAGTATCTAATGTAGCTTATTTTAACGGAATTAAAAAATCTACATTAACATTCCATTGAACAAAGTTTTGTATGGTAAAATTTGTGAGTTTAAATCCTTACATGGGAAAATTGAAAAATTAATATCCTCGATTAAGAAGAAAAAAAGTTCAAATTCTTGATTATGATTAATAAACTTTTTGAAAGTTAGAATTCTTATTTTTACTATTTTTCAATCTACTATGCTATCATTTGTTAGTATTATTTTGTGTTGTGTTAAAATTATAGTTATAAGTTTTTTATATTTTAAAAATAAAATAAATAAATCAATATAGGTAGGAATGAGATGGCATATGACATACTCCTTAAAAGAGTCCATGCTCCTCTTATTAAGGAAAACTTAAAGTGGGCCTGGACCCAGGCGGCTAGCAGCTAAGCCTAGGCCTACCACTTCATTACTCTTAACAGTTGGGCGCAAGTGCGCAACCCAAGTAGGGATAGCAACGTGGGGTTATTACTTATTAAGGGAGCCAGGGACTACCCTTCCCATGCCCGTCCCTATTAATAGCACGTACGGAGATCTCATAAGAATTTTTAGTTTTAGGTTGACCATAAAAAATTAGACATGATTGACTTTTAATATATATATATATAATGTTCAAAAAATATATATATATATAATGTTCAAAATATATATATATATATATATAAAAAGAGAGAAACTCATTGGTAATTTTAACCATCTTCTTAAATTTAATATCAAAATATTATAGGTCAAAACCCCTATTTGCACCCTCCATTTATTTCTTTTCTACGGTCAACATCTTCTGAAATTTTTTCTCCCTATTTACACCTTCCACCTTTCAAAATCCGTAAAAAACTCAACATTTTAACGGACCGTCACTGTACCGTTAAAAAATGCATTACGTGGCACCCAAAAATTGACATATACTTATAATATTATATAATGTTATAAATTTATAATATATGTTATATTATATAATTAATTTTTATTCAAAAATTTATTTAAATAGTATATATATATTTAATAATATATTTTGCAAAAAAGAAAACAGTGCATTGATTTTCTAGCCTCCCTTAGACATTCCTCACCTACATGCTTAAGCCTCCATTTTGATTAAGGAAGTTGAGGAAGAAGGGGAATAGAGTGAAACAGAGATGTCTCTTCTCTCTTATTTAGATAAAGTTATTAAGGAAAAGAGATGGAAGGGGAGATAGATAAAGGAGCGATTAACTCCTT